AATTTCTGATATTAGTAGTTCGTTGTTACGTGACAAATATCTGAAAATTTTTGATAAATCGCATTTCGTTTTGTCTGAAAATTCCCGATAGTAGCTTTTGGTTTCTCTGATATTTCGCAAACATAGCTGAAATTTCTGAAGTTAGTATTTTCGTTCTCTAGGCATATTGGGATAACGATCGAAGTGGTCATATTCTCGGAAACTGAAATTATTCTTTTCTGAAAATCGAATTTCCATTCTATCTCGCAAAGGTTTTTTTTTTTGAAAACCGAAATCTCGCGAAGCCTACCAATATTGCGTTAGGCATATTCGGAGGTTGCATATTCTCAGAAACTGGATTTCATTCTTTTCTGAAAATCGCATCTTTACTCCATTTCGCGAAAAAAAAATTTCAAGATCGCAGTTGGTAAAAGCCGAAACTTTGCAGGACCTAGCCAAGATCTCGTTCATAATACTCTTCTGACATATCCTATTCATCATAAATCGACAGATATATACAAAAAAAAAAAAAAAAGGAAGTAGTCCTCTTTTTATTTTTTATTTTTTATTTTATCTGTTGATTAGGGTCGGAGGAAAGTATTGTTGGGTTGGTTACCTACCTACGTTTTCCCTCCCACCCACCCCTTGCATGCATCCCGGTTCGGTACAGTGCCACGTCAGCAGCRCCACGTCACAGTGCCAGATCAGCAGTGCCATGTCAGCAGTGCCACGTCACAGTGCCAGATCAGCAGTGCCACGTCAGCAGTGCCAGGTCACAGTGCCATGTCAAACATTGTGCCACGTAAGCAGTGCCACATCAGCAGTGCCACGTCAGACACGGTGCCACGTAAGCAGTGCCACATCATCAGTGCCACGTCAGACACAGTGCCCCGTAAGCAGTGCCACATCAGCAGTGCCACGTCAGACACAGTGCCACGTCAGACAAAGTGCCACGTCAGCAGTGCCACGTCAGCAACATGACGGGCAGTTTCGCTGCGCCGACCACCACCATCAGCAGTCAGCTGCATACATTGAAGACCGAGGTTCAGCAGTTGCAGTCGACGAACACAGATGACAATCCGAAGATGTACAAGATGCCAACTTTCCAACTGGAAAAGTTCGACGACTACACACAGCAGGATCCGGTCCTCTGGTGGGAAGCATTCACAACGCAACTCAGGATTCTGCCCGTAGCCAAGCATGCGTACATCGGCGCCCTGTTCCTGAACTCAAAGGGCGGATGCCAAACCTGGTTGATCCACCTGGCAACCTCTCATGGCGTCGACGTACCGGACTTGAAGGACAATATCACATGGGAGGAACTGACACGGCTGTGGAAGAAGCGGTTCATCGTCGACGACGCGCCGGCTCTTGCCATCAATGGTCTGTTCACCATGTCACAGGGCAACACTGCAACACGGGATTGGCTCACGGAGTGGTAGAAGATTGCGGCGGTGCCCAATCTGGAGTTGGCATTCACTCATCTCAGACGTGAGTTCTACAACAGATCCTGCGCTGCATTGAGCCAGGCTCTTGGTGATCCACCCCACTTTCGTCGAGATTATCGACAAGGCGAGAGAGATCATCAAGACCAACAGGTCAGCTGCACACGAGAAGTCACCATGGCAGCCGACCTATGTGGAGAAGGTACGAACTGGTCCGCGACAGCAGCACTTCGCTGCAGTCCAGCAGGACAGTGGAGATAACCCAGCAGCCACTCCAGCATCAAGTGACGGAGATCAGGTGGCTGCTGTCCAGCCGCGAAGCAACAACAAGTCCCGCAACAATGGGCAGGCGAAATCCGCATCGCAGGCCGGAACTGGACAGCTAGTACAAGTTCCATGGGTCAAGTTTGGCTTGGCCGAGGCGGAGTACAAGGTCCGCGGCCGCTACGGCAGATGCTACTGGTGCAACAGCACCAAGCACAAGACCTCCCTGTGCCAAGATCAGGGCAAGGAGGATGTGCGACCCCGCCTCAGCTCGGGAAACTGAGCTCCGCGGAAGGTGAGGCGACTCCACCTTCTACTCCGCCAGATTCGGCCGCCTTGCTAGCGGCCTCCTGCACATCTGGGGAGGATGCGAATGTCGCAAGTCCTCGGTATACTTACGAGGATTATGCTGTCCACTTGGTTCCACCGCTGGACCAACCGCTCCACGTGCGACAGTCCACCGCATGCACGGTTTCATCACCATCGGCAACCGATTTGGCAGCTTCGCCGCAATCTATCGCCGGGGATTCGACGTCATGGTCAAGACTTGAAGAGCTCGACCCGTTGACGTTCGCGGACTTCCAGTGGATGCCCGTTCCCTCGACCGGACGATTGTCGAAACCGCATTGCAATGTGCTCATGGCACAACTGCGGGACTACTTGCACATTGCAGCACCAGCCCCGTTGATGGACGCCGGAGCAGAGGTTGTCGACCTTCACACTTACATCGCGAAGATTGACTGCGAGTTCAAGACTCAACGGTACGACGACATCGACGCACCATTGCTATACGTACGCATTTTGATTGGAGAGGCGACCTGCAGTGCCTTGATCGATTGCGGAGCGTCTCGCAACTACATCAGCCAGGACTTCATGGTACGCGCCTGCCTTGGCCCACGTGTCCGGAGGAAGTCCCAGACTATGCAAGTCACCCTTACAGACGGTCATACGCACAAGTCCATCRACCGGTGCGTTGACGCCGTCCCAGTGTACTTTGCCCCTCACGCAAGTGAGGCGGTGTCCTTTGACATTCTGGACACCAAATTTGACATGATCTTGGGCATGTCATGGCTGCGAAGCGAGGATCACCCGGTGAACTTCTTCCACCGCACCGTTCACATTCGTGATCGGAACGGAGTACTAGTTCCATGCACGGTGCCTCTTCCTCATCCTTCGATGAGCTGCCACGTGGTATCCGCCGCAAGCATGCGAGTTTCCATCATCAGAGACGACATCGAGGAGATGGGGGTGTGTTTTCTCCACGCCCTCCCGCCCCATGACGCTTCATCGACGGACTCACCTTCGGATCCATGCATCACCGAACTTCTCAACGCCTACAGCGACGTGTTCGAAGGCCCGCACGGGGTAGTACCGGATCGACCCATCCGCCACGAGATCATCCTCGAGGACGGGGCCGTACCTCCGCGCGGTTGCATCTACCGAATGAGCGAGGAAGAGTTAAGTGTGCTCCGCGCACAACTCGACGACCTTCTAGAGAAAGGCTGGATTCGGCCTAGCTCATCGCCATACGGTGCTCCTGTTCTCTTCGTCCGGAAGAAGAACAAGGACCTGCGGTTGTGCATCAATTATCGCAAGCTCAACGCGCAGACGATCAGGAACGCCGACCCTCTCCCACGCATCGATGACCTTCTCGAGCGATTGGGCGGCGCCCAGTTTTTCTCTATGTTGGATCTCAAGTTAGGGTACCACCAACTCGAGATTCGCAAGGAGGATCGCTACAAGACCGCGTTCAAGACACGGTATGGGCATTTCCAATGGCTGGTCATGCCGTTTGGCCTTACGAATGCCCCAGCCACTTTCCAAGCGGCTATGACAACGGAGTTCCGACACATGCTGGATCGGTTTGTACTCATCTACCTCGACGACATCTTGGTGTATAGTCGGAGTTTGGACGAGCATGTGGAACACCTGGGCACCGTTTTGGAGCGGCTACGACAAGCCAAGTACAAAGCAAACCGCGACAAGTGCGAGTTCGCACAGCAGGAGCTGGAGTATTTGGGACACTATGTGACGCCGCAAGGCATCCGTCCACTTGATTGAGGCCCTACGAGCATGGCCCGAGCCCACCAACACCACGGACGTTCGTTCATTCATGGGGTTGGCGGGCTACTATCATCGATTCATCACCAGATACTCCAGGATTGCTGCACCTATGACGAGGTTACAGTCGCCTAAGGTGCCATTCGTATTTGATGACGACGCACGCCGGTCATTCCAAGCACTTAAGACGGCTATGCTCATGGCACCCGTCCTTAGCATCTATGACCCCACCCTGCCGACG